AAAATGTGCCGTGATAAATACAAATATATATTTTTAAAAAAAAAAAAAAAAAAAAAAAAAGAAAAAAAAAACACTAAAAGTCGTTAAATGTAAATGCGTGAGAGCATAAAATTGCTGACAGCGGTGTTGAAGCGCATTATTTCTTGCGCAAATTTGCTTAGTTAACGCAGCTAAATTGCATTAAATTGCCGAAAGCTCTAACTTTTTTCTATGCTTTCCACATTTACATACACGAATTTGCATATAAATATTTGTTAGTTGCAATTAAATAAAATTTTTATTAATTTAAAGTTTGGCTATGCAAGCGTATAGTTGTTGCATGTTCATTGCAATTACAGTTAGAAGTGTTTTTTTGAGTGTAATAAAATGCAAAAATGTACAAATTTGATATTTTTATTATGTGAGAAATCATTGTTGTCTGCAGGACATTTTCAACGTAAACATTTGGTTAGTAAAATGCTGACTAACGTTTGATTGGCTAAGTGTTAAATTAAATTTACATGAAAATATGCATATTTTTTAGTTTTTAAAAGTAGATAAGTTTATTTTTCATAGGCAAAAGGGTATAATGAGGATACGTTTGAAACCTAAGGCTACAAATTTAAATTTGTGATAAGATAAATATGATTTATTTTTAATAATTACAATGAAATTCAAGCCTGAATTCTAAAAATAAATGTAATTAAATTTTTTTGATGCTAGGTTTAAATTAAGAAATATGATTTATTTTCAATGCTAATTCCAAAGTTTAAAAATAAATTTATTTTGAATTAAAATAATACTTCATTGTGAGGTTAAGTTCAAATTAGTATAAATATGATTTAATTTGCATGATAAGTTCAAAGTATTAAAATAAATTTATTTTGCCTTAAAATAACACATTATTTTAAAGTTAAGTTTTGTTTCCAGATTCGCTTAGTATTTGAAATTAAACTTTTTTATTATAGTACAGTTTGAGCTCACATTTTCATGACAGTCACAAATTATATTAACCATTGTTTTTTTTTGATTTCTCTAGCAGCCATAAATAGTACTTATAACAAAAATAATATAATCATTAGAGATCTTCTTCTGATGTTACTTTTTCTTAACAGCCAAATTTTTTTCTAATGTTCGCTCAATTTTTTTACTTTCAGTTAACGGGTTTTTCGACTATTCGAGTATTTTCGACTATCTCAAAATGATTTTGTAAGATAAGATTTGATAGTCACAATTCCCATTTTCAATTTAATAATAATTTTTGTTTTGATGTTTTCAGGTTAGGTTTCTGCAGCAGCTGGAATTAGTGTTTATATATGTATTTCTATTTAAGAGCTGTGTTTGAGGTTAGATTACACATTGTACTTAAAATTGGAATAGTAATAATTTGATATAATAATCCATTAAATTATTGATTATAATTTGATATTTTTGGCGTTTTTTTAGATTATTTTTTTTCACATTCCGCAAAAGGTGTTTATAACAAAATTAGTTTATTTTTTTTTACTGTTCTTAAAATAAAATTTTGTTATTAAGGTTATGTTATCGTAACAGTCAAAACATTTTAGAGTATCTTTTGAGGCTACTTTTTCTCAGCAGTCAATTTTTTTTTCAATTTTCCGCAGACTTGTTTTATTTTCAGACAACGGTATTTTCGATTACTTTCGATCACCTAAAATTAATTGTGTAAGGTACGTGGTTATTAAATCGAGTTATACTTATAAATAATATATATTGGAATATATATTTGATCTACTCCGAACATTATGTTTGAGACAATCGAAAATGCTAAATTTAACGAAAATGCTAAATTTAAAAGGAAAAACTGCTTTCACCGAAAGTAGGTGTTGTTTGCTTTTGTTGTTGTTGTGGTTACTGTTACTCTAAGTATTATGTGGACTCCGTTAAAAACTAACCTAAACATTGGCATTGACTTCGTATAATATTATGTAACAGAAATCAACGTCAAGGTTGTCCTATCGAAGGGGTTTACTCTGAAACAGCGAGGAACAGTTCGTATTAGGCGAAATCTTAAAGCTAAAACAAGTATAAGCGGTTACAATATTCGAGCGTATGTGTACTTGAGCTCACCTATCATAACAGATTTTAATCAGTTTCTTTCAGTCATAACATAGGAACAGAGTTAGTGCTTGTGGTTTTGACTGTCTAAGAGTAAGAGGAAATATCTATGTGTTGTTTGTGGATATTGAGACATTATTATAAAATAATTTTGTTTGATGTTGCTAGGATAATCTTGATTGTAGAGTTGAGTATTGATGGATTATTTTAAAACATTTTTCTTTCAACAAATTAGGAAATCTTGCATGTGGAGTGGAATATTGATGGTATATTTTATAATATTGATCTTGATCCTTTTAAAAGAGTGTTCTGAGTATAGTTTCTGTAGATATTTTTATTTTTCTTGCTGTTCTAAGTGCATCTTGTTTGTGGAGTTGAATGTTGATAGCTTATTTTAGAATATTATTTTTGTGTTTCTAAGTTAGAGATATGAGTCTAGTTTGTTTAGATTTTTTAAACCTAATTTTCTTGACCCTCCCAGGAGAGACTGCTGAGGCAAATATCTATAGATTTTTTTAATATTCTCCTGTTGTTCCTAGGAGGAAATTCTGTTTCAGGCAAACATACATTTCTATTTGAGAGCTTTTTTTGAGGTTAGATATTCTTAGCATGCACAGATTGTACTTAAAATTGGAATATAAATAGTTTGATATAATAATTAATTAAATGATTTCGTGGAAAGTGTTTCAGCAGATATCCTAGTTCATCATGCTTTTTATGAGCTATGAAACTGTGTGTTTCAGTTAGAGTGTATAACTGTTGACATTGAGATAGCGTTATATGAGTAAATTAGTAAGATAAATGAAAACAGAACTTTCTCAAACGCTAACGATTAAAGGTGATATTAAAAATGATTGAAATCATCGCCACGAGTGTGAATTAAAGCGTTAAAAAGGCAAACTAGCTCGCAAACAAAATTAGAACCTGGTATTAACTGGTTATTAAGTTTTGTTTTTATTTCTGGTTTTTAAAAGAATCGATAAGCTATTTTGCAAATAACGGACAGAAAATGCTTGCGTAGAGGATATTATATGTAATTTTGCAAATATTTCTTTTATAGTTTTTTTATTATTTATTTATTTATTTCTTATTTGTAAAATAATAATAAAATTATTATTATACATGAAACATAAGGAGCACTAGCTACAGAGGCTTTCAGCTCAAGTTTTTTTTATATCGCTCATAATATTTATTCCTCTTTCCAGCTCATTTGACGAACCACAATTTGTTTGAAAAAATTTGGCAACTCTACAAAAGTAAGCGTTTATTCAATAAATAAATGCGCGAGTGTTTTAATAAAGTCAGCAACCCCAACAACATTTGATACGCGCTATTTACCTTACGCCAGAAAATATGCATGAATAAATCAGGTCAGTGCATTAAGTTAATAAAAAAAGCAACTCATTTCAGCGATTTGCATTGGAAAACATATACAAGCGTACTATTTATAGAAATATACAAACTTTTATGTAAATATTTGCTTACAAATGCATATGTATGCATGTACATTGATGCAATCACTATCTATATTTACCAACATGAACAACGGTTGACTAAGTACATATGTTCATAAAAGCATTAATATTAAGCTGACAGCCATCAATAACCTTTTCACTTTGAGCGATGAGATTATTTTTGGAAAAAGTGGCTTAAAATCTGCGCATAGCGGTGAGTTTTTTGAAATTAATGTAAATAGTTGGCATATAAATGTTGCCAGCAAAAGGCACCAAAAGCCTTTAAAGCTTATTGGAAGCACTAAATGTTTACGTTTGCTTTACAACTTATTAAAAAATTGAACAAGTATCAATATTGCGAAAGTGCTGGGTATTTGAAAGCGGAGAGATTACTTTCAGAGCTGCCAGTTGATATTTTTTATGAAACAGTTTGAATAGTAAATTTCAACGCATTTTTAAATTTCAATTTAAAAAATTATGAGATAAAGAAACACTACTGTGAAAATATTTGTTGAGAAGGGTTGCCACCTAGTTTCAATTAATTTTATAATTAAACGTTTTATTGGTGTTGCCACAGAAAATATAATTTCGATTATTTTCACTCTTCTTATTGCATGCATTGCATAAAACGCAGTCATCGAAGTTTCACTTTAATGAAGCCTACTTCTTCGCACTAATTTGCCTCTCGTTTAAGTTGGAAAATATTTTTCAATTAAAACTTTTTATTATTTATATTGAAATACATGAATTTAAACTTCACATCAAGAATCCAATCAATCATTCTTCTGCAAATAACGGACTAAAAAGTAATTATTTTGCAAAAGTATTCGTTTTTGTGCCACACAGCCAGCCTTTCCGCAATGCTACGCTGCTAAGGTTAGGCAACGCTTAAATGAGCAACGTAATTAAAATGATTGTGCGCAATAAAAGCGTGTCTAAAATGTCGACATTACAAAGCAAAATTGATATCGGCAAAAAAATAAAAGGAAAAATAGAATTG